GCCAACGCCGGCGAGTGACATGGCCGTGCCTCACCCTGGGTGGCCCCGGTGGCCAGTCAGGCCTTGCCCCACGCTCCTCCTCTTCCTCAGGCCCCGCGGTGGTTTTGCTGTGACACCCTCTGCCCCGTGTCTGCAGCAGGCAGTTGCCCACCTCAGCCCTCCGCACACCTTTCCCCGGGGGTTCGGCGCTTCGGGTGGCATGGGCCACCTTCTCAGGGTGAAACACTGTGGGCTTTCCCGAGGCGTTCCCATGTGTGGGGGACAGCCTGGTCGTAGGGCCTCAGCAAACACTGCTGCGTCTGTTAAAAACTCAAAGCGCGTGGTGGGGGAAAGTTTTAGCAGATTGTTTGCGCTGGCCAGAGCGGAAGGGTAGAGGTGCCCAGATGAACTCCCGTTCACCTTTCAAAAATAACCTGGTTTCATTCAGACTTTGGGCTGAAGGTTATCCCAGCTGTCATCGGTTTTGAATTCCGCTTTCCAAGACTTGAGGTAAACGCGCTGTTTCCGTTGGAAGTCGCTTTGTCTCCTTTCAAATGCTCCTTTTCATACGGCGCCAGCATTTCACGTCCAGGTGCTGTTCAAGCAGCTGGGGGTGGTGCTGGAGGCTAACGCAAGGGACAATCTGCTGCTGCATCCCCGGGCATCTGGAAAATGAGATGGCACCTGGGATTCGTTCTCTGATACAGGCTGCTGCTTGAAACGTGTCTCAGCTATTAACGTGAGAGCGCTGTGGCACTATTTCTGCAGCCTGAGAGAGAAATGACACTAGTCTCTGGTGGCTTGCTATGGCCATTTGCTATGGGCATTGTCTGCCATAGCTCCCCTGTGGCGAGGTCTCCTTTTTACTGGGCTGACACCAAGTCCAGGCTAGTCAGGGGCTGTGCTGCTGGCGGGCATCTACTGCGCAGCGCCTGGGGTGTTAGGGTGCAGAAGAGAGTCCTGTTTTTTGAAAGTCCTGCCTGCCTTTCACGCTGTTCATGTCTTTCTGCATAGGCAGGACAAAGACTGGAATGGTTTATATGTTTCCATATGGGTATTTAAATCCATATAAGAGGAATAAATACCATGTTCAGTTCTGCAGTGAAGAAAGAGGGAGGAGGCTAAGTCTTTGGATTATTATTTTATCCCATTTTTGCTTTTCCCGTAGGAAAAACTGCTTGATGACAATAGCTAGCAGCTGGCTAGCTCATTCCCTCATTCATTCATCTTATTTATTAAAAGAAGAGCCAAGTAAATGGCAAAACATGATGTCTCAAAGCAATACACTCAGCCAATATATGCTACCTTGCTTGCTCTGGCGTTTTGTTTTCTATTCATATGTTGTGTCTTATTCACAATTGGGCCTTATACCACATACACGTACATGTATACATGCATAATTTTTCTTTGTGAATCATCTTGTAGTCTTATAGGCAAAGTTATGAATCTCTTCACAAAATTGCGTCTCAGATACTCCCAGGTTTAGTCATAAATTGGATTATAGCAAAGGTAAGATATAAAGCAAAGCAATAATAGAATATAACACAACTGGCTCACAGCAGGCCAAAACACCACACTTGTTTTTCTAGCATATCTGTGTGGAAACTTACACATTAACTCTTTTTAGGAAGGGAAACCATATTACCAATTTCCCATTTCCCCATTTCTGAGTATGGGACTCCCTGTCAAATCTGACTTCAGCCTATCTTGACATGGGGAGTAGCTATCCTTTTTAATTTATTATAGTATTTTCTTTGAGGAAAATCTTGATCTCAGCCTTCTGCAGTTTATTATTGGCTGGGTCTGTAGAGCTGGTCTCCAGTTCATATTGATCTGTGCATGGCAATATTTTAATTTTTTAAAAATATAATAATTCCTCAGGTTTTTAAGAAGGAAGCAAAGAGGAGCTGCCAATCAAGAGATCTATCATGACAGGCAATCCATGTAAGAGACTTGCCTGGAGTGACTGTGAGTATTTCAGGACTATTTTTGCATAGATTCCATGTTTTCCTGGATAACTTCCAGTTTCATTTGCAGCATTGTGGTGTGCATGCTGCTAGCTGTGTATGAGCCATTCTGAAGCTGTACCAGTCTCACCTGTGCTGTATATGGGATTCTGCGCTGGCCTTTCTGTGTTTTCGGAGGAGGAAACTGGGAGTGACTGTTAGAGTGACTATAAACAGTGCCTGACTATATAGAAAGCTCAAACAGCTGCAAACATTCACCTGGCTCTCTCTAGAGTTGACATCTGTCACTGCTGCTTCTGTACTGAGCGGAGGAGGAGGGCTGGTAAAATGCCAACCTCTACAGGCGTGCCAGCCCAGCGCCCTGCTTGTAGGACTGATGACTGTGAAAGAGCTGGCACCAGTCTGCACCATATAGAAGCCTACTGTCACTGAAAGATGATTTCTGAATACATAGTCTCATTTCCTTTATGTATTATTAACTGAGGAACAGTCTATATCTAATGAACCTTTGTAACCAGGTCAGTTTGTTGTAATATTTGATCTTAGCAGAGAGTTCTGGTCATATTTCATACTAGGCTGAAGGTTATTTTTTGGTCATTAAAGACAGAAGTACCCTTCTTTGTATTTTGGACCAGTTTGATCCTTGCGGGACATTTACAGTCAGCTTACAGTACATGGGCAATGGGGGACTGGGATACTCCGGATAATGTTGATACTGGGGAAAATGGACAGAAATTTCAAAAGTCGACAGAAAGTAAACTTAGATACAGCAAGGCTTTTTAATCAGCTAGAGCCAGCTTAGCTCATGCAGAGTATTTTCAGGATGAATAGGAAATACCAAAGTTCTCCTAGAACCTCCGTGCTGAGGAACAGAGGCATTACTGTTGTCATCACTTCCATTTCTGCCTCGACCACTCTAGGCTCTGGACTGCCTCTGCTGCCAGTTGCAAGTGGAGCTAGCCCAGCCAGCTATACATCAGTGCTGAGATATGTTCGTTGTTCAGTAGAACCTAAAATGAAACTGGACCTTCATGATTTCCTGTGCATGTGTATGAGCCACCACAACCTGGAGCAAATACTGCCAGAACCATCATTTACACTTGAGGTAAATGATGTGAGGAGAGGGAGTTTCACCAGCCTTGCAATAAAGTCAAGATCTGCTTCAGTCAGTGCTATTGCTAATGGTAGGAGTTCAACATATAATTGTTAAGAAAACCTTGGTTATTGCAAAATGCTTCTAATGTGTGTGTAGTGATGATCTGACAATCTTTGAATGTCTGTTAGGAGTTCTGATTCCCAAGATTCGGAGAGATGTCTCAGGAGCTGGAAGAATTGCCATTTGGTAAACTGGACTTAGATTTCAGGGCTTGAATTTCAGCATACAAGAGAGATTTTCTTTAGTAAATTGAAGGCAGAGGTATATGGATGAATAAAAAGACATAACAGAAAGTAGATGTATAGGACTGAGAGCAGGTTTCCAGATTAAGAACATTGTTCAGTATAACAAAACAAGAGGTGAGGGATGTATATACAGCATCCCATGAAATACAGGTGAAGAAAGGAGACAATTCAAGTGAATCATTTGATTAAAGTATAAATGTTGTGTTTCCCTCATTTCTCTTTACAACAGATGTCTTTGATTCAAAGCACAGAGAAGATCCTGAAGATTCCTACAAGGCCCACAAGAAGGAATCGAAAGAGCAGGAAAGGAGACTGGCAGTCAGTCAGTGGGACATGGATGTACAACCCCTGGTTTCATCTTCTAAATGGCTTCGACTTCATGGGCTCAAAAGTAGTGACTTGTCCCTATCTCAGATATTGTCACAGGTTGGATTCCAGCACAAAAAAGGTATAAGACAAATCAGTAACAGAATAATAATAAAGCCCTCAACTTTGAGTAGTCTATAGGGTCACACTCATTTTGCACCCCAGTGTACACAACGGAGATTTTCACGTTATCTTTTATCTTACGATAATGGCAGAAAGGGAAGCTGTATCCACAGTTGCTGTTGACATTGCCTGTTCAGAGAACTGAGGAACTCCATCTCCTTTTGATCTGAGAAGGACATAGGATCTGAGAAGGGCTTTTCTTACTCAACTATACTGTTGCCTTACCCTAGGCTCCAGTTCAAATCCTCTCCAATTTAGCTATAGCTGGGAAATAACTTGTGCTGCTGAGGCTGTTAGTCTTTTTCCTGAAAAGAACACACCATAATATCTCTGTCCATTTTTAGATGGCAAATATAATGTATGCCATGCCATAATCTGCGATCTACTGGTTGATCATCGGCTAGCCAGCCTACTTGGGAATAATATATTATTTCCACGGATGCAGCTTTAAGGAAGCAGTTAAATTTGATTAGAATTCAGGCTGCTTTTCATGCAAAGTCAGACTATAGAAAATGTTCCTTTGCAGTTATCTGACAGCTGGAGGGGAAGAGTTTGCTAATAATTATTAACCACTGCCATAATAGTGCTTTGCAGAGCATGCTAAGATATTCTTTTCTTTGAACAGCTTGCTGCCTGAGAAGTAGGAATTGTAATGCATTGCAATTGTTCTAGGTTACATAAATTAAGATTTTGGCTGGCTTGTGTCCATGGGGCATTCAAAGATCAACAGTGCAGATCCTGAAATCCTGTATGCTGTAGATGAAGAAGAAGCTGTTAAGCAGGGTTAATGTTGTTACAGTGTAATTTTAGGAGCAGAATGTACTAGCTTAGCAGGGCAGCATGTTGTACAGAATAGCTGCTTTGTGACGTTAAATATTCCCACCCCTAATGTCTTCCTATCAATGGAGATCCTGTAGAAGATTTCTAGCTACTGAAAAAGCAGAGTGCAACCTTTTCCTTAGTTGCACCCACTTCTGCACCCATTTAGTTGTGTAAGAGAACAGCATTATCTGTACCAGATTTTGTATTTTGTTTGACGGACAAATATTTGCAAGACCTGTTGTGAGGTAAATGGATAATACAGAAGTTTCATTGCCTAAACCTTTCATTTATTGAAGTTCTATGTAGCTTTTTGGCCTTTAAATAATTAAATGTGGGATTTTCCCCCACTTCTGACTAAAGGGGCAGGGAGCAGCAAGAGCAGGGCTGCTCCGTGGGGTGAAAATGAGCTGGGAACCAAAGAGGACCGCAGCCCAGGCACTGCCCTGGCTGACCAGGGTGCAGTCCTGCAGCATCTAAGCACGGCAGGCAGAGCAGGGTGCTGCTAACAGTGTCCACAGACAGTCCCAGGCAGTGTGAGGTGATGAGCTATGTCCAGGGTCCAGCCAGGGAGTGCAGCCAGGAGCAGCAGGCAATGGAGCCAGAGACAAGACTGGAGACAAGGCCGCAACATAATTCTCAGAGCCACATCCAGGAGACAGAACTGAAGACGAGGCTATAATACAGGGCTGAGAGGTCTATCCAGGAGAGAGGTCCACTAGCAGAACTTGAGACAGGTACACTTACAACACAGCTAAAGCAAAGACTGGATGCCCATGCCTGAGCACCCTGTGAGTAGAATCCCCAAGTGAGGCTGATCAGGGCAGTCAAGGCCTCTTAGTACCCTCAGGGCCCCATCATAGACAAAGCCAGAAAAAATTGTAAAACAAAAACATAATTACAATTTCTCTCAAGTTTCTTAATGTCAGGAGTTTGATACAGATGCATGTGCCTCAGACATGGATGGTATGCACATCAACCTGAAAAATACCTGTTTGAAGTAATCCTAATGATTAGCAACTTGATCATTTGTAACCTTTACTGTAGATTATGTGACCACCTTGGGGAAATCTGTGGCTTCTCGGTATGCAGATGGTCTGTTTCCTCAATACAAGAGTGCACAAGATGGCAGCGTGTATAATGTAAGTGTGACTGACTTGTGGTAACTTCCCTGCGCACTTAGAAGTTATTATCACTATAGCATAATGATGTGACTAAAACGTCTCCCTGTGGCATGAAACACTTATATTCTTTGTGAGAACTTTATCTTCTGAAATTTTTTTTTCAGTTTTGTGAAACTGTTAGTGATAGCAATCAGTGGTAGAGAAGCTAGATATCTTTTCCTTTTTTTCCTTGCAAAGTCTTATGCTTTTGCCTTGGTGCAGCATTGCAGTAAATCTTACCAGACAAGGCTGCAGTTTCTAAGCAACATTTACCCTGTCTTGAAAGAGGGAACACTTAAAAAAGAAGATGCTCAGCCGAGTTTAAAAAAAAAATAATCATAGTCAATAAAACAAATGGGGATGCTGAAATAAGAAGACATAATGTGCTGTCATTGTCGATGCAAAGCGCTGCTTTGCTTAGTGCCAGTGGGTCACAAAAGGCTCAGCCTACTCTATAGAGACAGCTAGCTGGATCTCTGCCCAGACTCATGTTCTGAGGAATGTCTTAGCAACAGCTGCTGGCGGCCCCATTGTTAAGAGGATGGATTCTGATTGAAGAGATACGCATGTGAGTGAGGAGGGGAGAGAGTTAATTCATAAAGGATTTTACAAAAGCAAATGGCTTGGCATTTTTTCTGATAACTAGAATCACTTCTGAGGCACAAGGCTTAAAAATGGGAAAAGAACCATTTCAGGGAGCCTTTTCCCCTCATTTTTTTCCCATTAATTCCATATGAAATATCTACATAATGTCTTCTAATCTTAGGACATGTTGCGAGCAGTAGGAAAGGCATTTCTGGTAGCATTAAGGTAGCAATGCCACTATACAAGATCTGGTGAGATCTCATTTAGGATATTGTGTACAATATTGTGTACAGTTACCACAGGTTGAGAAGACGCAATTCAGACCAAAACAAGTACTAGGAAGAGCTAGTAGGATGAACTGCAATAGAGTGCTGATCTTATAAGGAGGCTTGGTTGATGTTGACGTATGTAAGTAAGACAGAAGAAGTCTGACAAAGGGTAGCATTATTGCCCTTGAATGCCTACAGAAAGGCAAATTACAGGGATAGGGAAAAGCTATAGTTTTCTATGCTAAAAGGCATGCTAGTCCAAGAATAAATGGGTATGAACTGCCATGAATAAATTTAGGCCGGACAGTCGAAGTTTTCCAGCCCGCAAGGAAATGGGAATCTGGACTGGCCAACTACAAGTGAAAGGGTGGTGCAAGAAAACTGCTTTATTTTAAGATGGAGTTTGATCGGTGTAGTGCACTAAGCTTCTTTGTATGAGTCTGGCTGTCATAGGAAGAAACTGGATTTTCTAAGTGCTCCTTCCCAGGCCTACATTCCTTTGGCAGACAGCCTGAGACTCTGTAACTGGGAGGCGCGTTACAGGGCCCTAACTGACATTAAAGAACAGCGAAAAATACAAATGAGAGGAAGAAGCGTGCAGACTGAAATGCAAAATATCTTGTTCTTGTTTAAAAACATTTATATTTCCAAGGTTTTGTACTTAGTCCAGGACAGGTATTTGGAGGTAGAAGGTAGCTGATAAATTAGCTTACATGGGTCAGAGATATTGGGGGAATGTCTTTACTGGAACCTGTGGTGAATTTTTAAACCCACAGATCATTTTGTATGGTGAAAGTGTATACATTTATTCATGGCGGGGGGGGGGGGGGG